GAGAACATCTGCCAAGGCAACAAGCAACGGGACAGCTTTGCTGAAGGAGGGGATGCCCCTGTTAACATTCCCCTAACCTACAGGCGAAGCCTCCAATTTGCCCAAGAAGATGATGCCTCTGGAAGTGAAAACTTTCAGCCAAATGCCCAAAAAATAATCCCTCCAATTTTCAGCTACCGCCTGGCACAGCAGCAGCTGAAAGAGATGAAGAAGAAAGGCCTGACAGAGACCACTAAGGTGTACCATGTCTCTCAGAATCCTCTCACGGACACAGTTCTTGGTGCCACCACGATGCTTCCCATGAGTGGGGAAAACCAAGAAGAGGTGGCAGCAAACAAATTTCGGATCAAATCTCCGTTTCTGGACCAGCCAGCCAGTCAACCCAAATTCCTGGGAGAAGGCTCTCACCCTAGGCTGGATTTTCCATTCTCACAGGCCAATCCTGCAATGAGCCCTACCCAAACCTTGGTAAGAAGAGGTCATTCCAAGCACCAGGATAACAGAGTGGATTTGCCTGAGAGGGGCTGTCACAGAAACTCGCAGTTCAGAAGAACAGCCAGTTTCCATGAAACTAAAAAGGCCAGGCCTTTCAGAGAGAGAAGCATGTCCACTCTCACACCTCGACAGACTCCTCTCTACAACTCCAGGACCAGGACGTGGGACCAGGGTCTGGAGGACAGGGCACGGCCGAAATCAAGAAACACTAATCCAACCTGTGAAAAGCTGGATCAGCCCCACAGCACTGTGCTGGGGTGTGAACCACAGGGCCATGGCACAAAGCCGCACCACAGGGCGGGTCCCCCAGTGAGGAAGCTGGACCTGATCACAGACCGCCAGCCTGCTGGCCAGGAGAAGGCAGCTGAGAGGCCTGAGCCCAGCCGAAGTAAGAGGGGCCCTTCACCTAACCCCAAAGGTGTGTGGCGGAAAGAAACAGGCCCAAATGGCAAAGATATTTCCCAGAGAGGCCTAAGCATCAGCCCTGCCCAGCATCGAAGGGACAAGTGCCAGAGCTTCCCCTTGGACCCCGAGTTTGCCTTTTATGACAATTCTACTTTTGGCTTAACTGAGGCAGAGCAGCAGATGATCGACCTCCCTGGGTATTTTGGCTCAAATGAAGAAGATGAAACAAGTACTCTGAGCATTGAGAAGCTGGTGATCTGAGTGACTCATTGCAGCCCTGCAGGAGTGGCATGCGTGGGAGAGGATCTGCAGGATCAGTTGGCTTCTGGTGGAAGAAAGTGCAGGAATCACGTTACCTCCACACAGAGCAGGAGGGGATAATACCCCAGGTCTGGCTTGTGGGAACATATTCCTTTCTAATTACTGAAAAGTGCTTTCATAGAATTATTTTTTGTATGTATGTGTGTACAAGGCACACAAAGTACCCTGGGAAAGAACGTGTGAGTTAAGGTGTGGCGCAGGAATAGCCAATAGATTTTATTGTGTAAAGCAGTCATGTTTTGTGCATAATACATGATGAGTGCCACTGACATTTCCCATCTTGTGGACTGTGTACTGGTAGACTGTTAGATACTGAAGCATCCACTGTCCAGCACTCTCAACCATCTGCCCTGATTAGTGAATCATTTCCCATCTAGAAAGCACAAAGCTCAAGCTGTGAGCAGTTTTCATCATTTTTCTGATAGTAATCAGTGAACTGTGTTGATTTGTCATTGTTGCTCAAATAACTCATATGGTAGGGGGTTTTTAGCTGGTTGCATAAAAATGCAAACAATTGATGCTGAATCCCTGAATGAATTTAAACTTGAGGAGGCATTTTCATCATTCAAGACTTTGATATTTTCTTACTGTAAATATTTATATCAAGAAAACAATGTACAAATATTTGCAGGAAATTAGTACAAAAGGCATGCTTACAGGGAGGGCAAGGAAAACAGATGATCAGATTTTAGTCCTCACAGAAATGTTACCCGCAGCATGTTACCTGTAAAAAGCAGGGAGAGAACTGTTGAATTATGCATCCTTTCCATAGTCATCCTTTGCTTTATTAAAATTTTTAAGTGTAAATATGATGACAATAATACTACTATGGCAAGCTCAAAATAAATTATGAACAAAGCAAGCAAACAAGATTATTTGATTAATACCTGTTCTGGGAACAAAAAATAAAATGACTTGACAATGTCTGGTGATTCACAGAGAATCTTATAGAATCATTTACATTGGAAAAGACCTCTAAAATCATTAAGTCCAACTGTTTACATAACACCACTGTGTTCACCACTAAACTATATCCCTTAACTGCCACATCCACACACCTTTTGAAAACTTCCAAGGACAGTGATTCTACTGCTTCCCTGGGATGCCTGTTCCAATGCCTGACCACTTTTTCAGTGAAGAAATTTTCCTTCATATCAAATCTTAATCTCCCCTGGCACAACTTGAGGCCATTTCCTCTGGTCCTGTCACTTGTAACCTGGGAGGAGGGGCCAACCAACCTACACCTTGCTACAACCTTCTTTCAGGGAATTGTAGAGAGCAGTAACAGTGACCTACAAAAGCCATTATGGGCTTTTTTGTTGTGTTTTAAAACTGGACATCACAAATTTGCCATTAGATTCTGCTGTAAGTGTTCAGCGTTGGTTGGAACCTCAACAGCAGAAGCAGAGCTCAGGCCTTTGTGAATGACTAAGACTTTTCTTGCCCTTTGTTAGGATAACCATCTCTCTGGAGACTTTGCAAAGACCAGGAGAATGCTAGTGGGCAAAAACAAGACAAGAGGAGATGCTTCCCATGGAGGTTTGTGTAAAAGAAGAAAGGTTTAGGCAGTGGACTATTAGTCTTAAATAAATTCTTCCATAAGGAGCCCAACCCTACATGCCCTTTAACCTGCGTTGTGGGGGTGAAGGCAAAATTAGCATGTGCTCCATTCTCAGGGAGTAGGCTGCTATCTTTCAAAACTGGCTTTCTGAGCACAGAGAGATTTCCTAATCCCACACTTCCTCCTCCCTGCTCCTCTACAAACCAACGGCAATTTTAAAGAAAGAGCAGCATCACTGTGTTAGCTGCCAGTTTCCGATGGCACCCCACTGCAGTGTCCAAAGCTGGCACAGGTGGCTTGACAGGCACGCGGTGTTACCTGCTGTGACAACACAGGGGGAGCAAGCCTCAGCATTTGGCCACCAGAGTCAAATCTGGCTGTTTGAATGACCTTTTTGATGGGTAACATTTTGCAGCTGCTGCTGAAGTGAGGGATCTGTCTCACAGGGTGGTGTGAGCTCCCTCCTTCCCGGGAGCCGTGCCAAGATGCCGATGTTCAGCCCTTGGCCCAGCGTGGTGTTGTTACCAGCCATGCATTCCCATAAACTGTCAGCTTGAAGAGATGTTCAAAGCGTTTCAGAACATGTTAACGCTTGAAGAGTTATCCAAAGGCAATCAAATGCAATGAGTCTTTAAATTGACTTAAATGAGCTGGAAATCAGACCTCTGAGACAATTGCTGCTCAGGTTACTTACCCTGCCTGGACCAAGGTTAAGGTCTGTGAAGTACCTTCGCCCTGAAGCGATCCATCATCATTGGAGCTGCAGGGCAACAGTGTCTGTTTAAGCTTTGTTGAGCCTCTCAGCATGGGAGAGAGACCCTGGGAGATGAAATGTGCCATGCAGCAACAATTCAGCAAGCATTCCCCTAAGCTTCAGCGGGAGTGATTTCAACTTGGCGTTAGCCCTCAGATCCGGTAAGTAGCCAGCTAGTGGCATGCGATCCTGTTTATTAAGATTAAAGGTTCTGAAATGCTTCCTGGGGTTTGCTGTGGGATTTGCAGGCTTCTGCACAAAGCCCTGTGACCTTTGCATCTCAGAGGGGATTTCCTTTGCCACAGGAGGGCAGAGAAGGAGGAACATTGCTCTAAATCTGATGCTGCTTTCTGCAAAGTTGTCCCAGTGTTGGGCTGTCTTATGCATTAGATGTTCTTAGGTACATTTTACATCAAAGACAGCAGGGCGGACCCCTTCCCTCTCAGCTTGGCATACCTTGGCCTCCTCTTTCTCTCTTAGAGACAGGAAAAAGCACTATAACATTGATGCTGACTGAAGGCAGTCCAGCTATAATGCTGCCCCTCCATACTGGCGCACAGGGAAACAGGCTTCATAGTCTGGACTTCACGGTGGTCATTGCTCGCTCCCTGGGGAACTGGACTGGTTGCTGGTTGTTTGTTTAAGCCCTGCTGACTTAATCTCCAGTTTGATATACCATTATCAGATGGGTTACCAGCTGCTTAATGAACTGCCAGGCCACAAATGCTGTCCCCTAAGTGCTGTAGTTTCCACGGTCTTTACCCTACTTCCTTAGCTCTGTACTGAAGAATGGGATTGTGCATCACCTGCCAGAAGGCATGAACTTATTTCACTCACATTTCTCTGTATCTTCTACCTAGACAAAAATTATCCTTCTGCCTTCAGTGCTGCATCAGTGGCCAAACAGTTATAATGTGTGTGAAGTCATTCCTTATATCCCAACATGCAATTACAACCTTGCACTGAGATTTTACCATATTAAAATACAGAAGTAGTGATCAGAAGGGAAAGAGTAAGTGTTACCTTTTTGCAGACCTTTCTTCACAAGACCAATCTCATTTCAGACACGTAGATGCAAATTTCATTCCACGTGAGCATGCTTGAGAAGAGGGCGGGGGGGGCAGTCTGGCCAAGGGCACAGGCTTTAGGAGCACAGCTCCCTGGAGTGCTACCCATTATACTGGGATGTTCATGTTTGCAGTCACTGGATGTCTAAGAAGCAGAGTAACCAAACGAAGTTTTAAACTGAACCTTCACCTCATGCTTCTGCATTGTCTTCAGGAAGGCTTGAGCTATGAAAATTAAACTTACCTTGCAGACCCTTTCAACTACCCAGGACAACAGATGAAAAAGCACCAGAGCCAACATTGAAAGAATAAATTTCTCATATCATGAGCTTTCCAAGATTTTGATCCAGATTTCTGTTCACATTCCTATTGTTGAAAACCAGAGAAAAAGTATTAAGTCCTACTCAGATGGTTTTATTTCACTTTTTATTGATATGTATACAAATTACAATATGTATGGATATAAAAGCAAGTAAATGGAAAAGAAATACCGATTAAAAAAATATTATAAATCAGAAGAAAAGGAAACAAATTTATTCTACAGTGTGGTAGTTAAATGATTTGCATCAAGCTGATACCGCTGTTCATTTTAAACTGTTGTTAACAGCTGTAGAAAATAAATGTTCAGTATTCCATTTCTTTCAGTCATTTGTGTTACTCTTTCACCCCAATGAAAGACAATGAAAGCAGTGTGCCTTGTGGTTCAACCACTTTCTGATTCCCCTTCACTAATGCAAAATCACCTGGCAAATTACAGGAGAATATACAAATGAATCATGACTGCATTTTAGGCACTCCTAGGAATATCTGTGCTCACCTTAAGTTTAGTAAAATGTGCCTAATTTAAATCTGGGGCTTTAATCTGGTTGGCAGGATTGTCTTTGCTTTAATGTCTTGTGGTGTACTCTAGCAGTGGATCTGCAGTGGGAAGCTGTTGGAATGGAACCCACACTGTCCATAGTGTTGGTGTTTACTTTGAAGCAGCCTTAATCTGATGCACATGAGCAGTTGGAGCATGTCCATCCACAGGTTTGGTTTCACACACTCCAGGAGCACTCTGCAACTGAAGTGTGGGAATTAGAACCATAGGGAAAGTTGCTTTAGCACAGTCTCCTGATGCAGAACAATGCACTAACAAAGGCACGTCAGATGAAGTCCAATTCCCCATCCCCTTGTTCTTTCTATCCTGATATTCTCATAACTGAAACACTGATGGTTAAAATTAAGATGAGAAAGGTTTAGATTTTTAAAAGTATAGATTGATTAAAAGGACATGCTCTATCCTTCAAAGTCCAGAGAACTTTCAATTAACATTCTCCAACAAAGTCTTAAAAACTGCTGAAAAAGACATCTCTGGTTATCTGGTGACTGAGATCCATATGATTTTTATTAAATTGTTGTCTGGCTGTGCTCAAATAACTCGTGCTGTTAGCTTCAGGTAGCAGAAGCAGGTGCAACTCCAGCTATCATGTGCAGGTTTGGTGATGGGCAGCAGCAGAGCACTAGCTATCAACTTACACCATTCTTTTTCCAAAGCAGCAGGTTTCAGCTGCCCTGACTGTTCTCACCGTCTCCACTCTCTCTGTCGATAAAGAACGAAGCCCTGATTTTCATAGCTGAATATTTCAGTGAGTACCACATCCCATGCCATGTAGACCAAACCAAGCCATCATCATGGGGTCCTTTGTACCTCCCTCTTTTGTAGTATTGCCCATTGAGGTTCACAGCATGGCACCTTGGAACAATGTAGGAAAGACAAAAAGGGAATTATGTTTAGCATGAGAAGATATTGCATCATTGCAGTGAAGTACCATTCTCACAAAACACATGTTTAGATATACCAGGGTGGGATGGACTAAATGGTTAATGCATTTAGTGGAACACGAAGAAATATATGGGTTGTCCTAAAGCAGATACCTATACTGATCAGATAATTCAGCTTGTTGACTCATTCAGGTGTATTAACTACAGACATTAGAACTATCTGATGAGAATCTGGTCTAAGAGGCTCATCCTGCACTAAAGCAGAGAAAAATCTGAGTGTTATATCCCTTTTTCCCGGGCTGTTAAACATGAGTCCCTATCCATTGATGTGTGGCATATGCTCAAACAGCAAATGTACCATCATAACTTCTACGGGGTAGCTCTGCCCTTAGATATGCTCCACTCTAGGGAAATGTCCTTTGTACACACTTCACCTTACCGTGGCTACAGTTGTTTTCTTCACTGGAGTATAACACAAAGCACTTTCAGAAATTGTAACTGGGCTCTTTTCCTTCCAGGTCATTTTCCTCTGTTCATTTGTTCTGATCCATTTTCTTAAAGTGAATTCAACTTACCTGCTTTCCTATAATAAAAGGGGTAAATTGTTTTGCTTTGAGGATCTGTAGGTGTGAATATCTTAAGTTTGGCTGTGTGAGGTGGCAAGTGGACACAGCAACCTCCAGCTGCTGTAAGGCAGGCAAGTCCTCTCAGCTGTACAGCCACCCACACCCTTCACATCCAAGAGGAATCAGCTATTTTCCGTACCTGTTAAACCACCAGCCACCCTTGTTCTCTGATGCACAGTTGCCTGCCAGGAATCGATCGTGATCCTTATCAGATGTGGTGAACTGCATCCCTCTGTGAGAGGCTGACCACTGATCTTCAAAATTGCTCCCACCAGACAGAGCGTCGCCAGCATTACCAGAATAGGTGCCAAACCATAACCTGTAATTGTCCTGCAAGAATATGTGAAACATTTATTTTACATCCATTCTTTCTGCCTTTCCTCCTACTTTTGAGGTCAAATTAGCTCTGGGCATTTCATCCACTGTCAAAGGCATGACTGCTGAAGTCAAGGGTGACTTTTGTCTCCATGCTTTAATGATCCTAGTGTAGATCAATGCAGGATTTAAACTTCCAAAAGGGAGTGATAATTACTTCCGCTGCTACAAAGGGCTTCAGGTTTATTGTCTTTCAACAACCATTTAATACACTTTACAGCAAGATGGAAAGCTCTTTCTAGCCCATAAAGAATAATTTAGTAGAATTACTTGCCAAGTGTCAAGTAATTGCCTTCATAAACAGGTTAGTTCTTCAGCTAGAATAAATGCTTAGGCATTTTGCTCTTCCAAGGACTAGAAGGCATCTGATTTCTATGGTCTAGTCCTGGTAGGAATACTTAGAATATTAGTTCCATTATACACAGCTAACAGGTCTAAGAGATATTTAAGTGGATGATCACTTTTTGTTGTGGGCTTTCTCCTGCCATCATTGTCCTTATTTCTTTATGAAAAATGGCAGTAAGGTATTAAAATGAAGCTTTTCAAACTTTTTGTAAGAAACCTCTAATTACAAACTGAGCATAATGTGCACATTTCTGGAGCGGTGATGGAGCTGGAACTAGGAGTGGTCCATCCTTAGGTATTTGGGCTACTTACATGTGGTGTTCAGGAAGGCAAGTCTGCAAAGAACAGCACCTGTATAGAGCTGGACACTGTCTACAGCCAGAAAGCACAACATGAAAATACAAGATGTGTTTGTCCCTGTGCTTTCTGTGTCAGTAGCAGTAGGTGTAGTACTACAGGTACCTCTCTTCAAGACAGGAACTTAAAACTGCTCTTTCAAAGCTTTGATTAGAATTCCCTGTTTTATTTTAAAGCAAAGTGGAAACGATGTGCTCTGGCACTTGCCTTCTTTGTGACAGTCAGAAACACTCCTCTAGGAAGCAGGAGAATGAGGTTCCATTTAGTTGCAGAGGTTCAAACCTTAAGGGTCTTCTCACTCACAGAAGACTCTTAATCATGAGGCCAGAGGCAAATACATGTGAGAATCCCTGTGGCCTGTGGCAAATACACGTGGGAACCCCTGAACCCCTGTTCAGCAGCAGAGTTAGCAAGAAAGCACAAACACATGATCCTGTCACATGGTGATCTAGGCACTCAGTTGTAAGGAAAAAGTCCCAGGTTTATGTCCCGGATCCCAGGGCTGTTTGTCAGTCAGACAAACTACAAAGCCCAGGAAATCAGAGCAAGTAAGTTTTGCAGAGCTGTAGATACAACCCTGATACTGGTCTGATGCTGCATATGCAGCTGCCCCACCCTCACAGACCAAAGCAAGCAAATCACCGCTCTCTCCATTTCTTACCTGCTCATTTGCAAGCTGGAAATTTTCATAGATTGCATAACGTCTTTCCCCATGCCAGTCCATCAGGTCAATCTTTAATGAGTTCTCTCCTAAACATAAAATTGTGCCATGTTAGATGAACTACCTAATGCAAATTAGAAAGAAATCTATGGAGAAAAAATACTTGGACCTCTAGCAAGCAGGTCATGGATGTGGTCATTGCCCAGCCAGTATTCATCATTCTTGCCCTGGAATTTCCCAAATCCCAGTTTGTAATCATCCCATTTCCTGCAGAGAGATATAAATATCAATTTCATCATGAGAGGGGATTAGACGGTTTGTGACACTTGAGTATGGTAACAAGTAAAACTCCACCTGTATCTCTAGATACTGTTTCCTAAAAGTATCCAACTGGTCACAAACTGAGCTGAGACTGTCTCTCTATCTTAGAAGTAAATACAACTCACAGCTTACTTTTTCCCCTGCTAAACCCATGCACACATATATAGGGAGCAAACCTTCAAACTGACAGATGAGTGCTTGCAGACTGACATTTCCAGTTAAATGGAAAAGGAAAGCAGCAGCTGTCACATTGGTCTTCAGCAAAGCATCTAATATTGTTCTTCAGCAAGTCATAATTCACATGATCTATGTATTACCTTTGATATTGTCATATACTTCTTTGTGTGTCATCATTTCCAGTTTTAGTAACCCTGTGTTTATTCTCTCTCTCATGTTGTTATTATGGATATTCATTCTGCCTGACCTACATACTAGTCAATGCTCCTCTTCAGGATGTTTTTATTTCACCTGAACTACCATGGCTAGATAGCTACGACTCTCTTAGAGTCAATTAAGGTAGCCTTGCAGTGCATTGCATAGACTTTAGGAGGCATTAGATATGCCCTGAAATAGTGTGTGCTGTGATAGTGAATTAACCTCCATGGGGACATTTCCTCTTAACTGTGCTACCAGAGCATCTCTCCTCCTGTAAATTTTATTATGGGATTTTGCATAGGAAAAGGACGATCTGATTTGGCATCTCTTAGAATTATCTGAATACGATAATAAATGTTACAACATGCTGAACATAATTCCTGATATGAGAACAGATATGTTCAGCAGGTCTCAGTCTGTGCATTGGTAGCAGATATCTGCCAATTTGGGGCCTTTGGCAGTCTTCAATAATGATGAAATATACATTCAAATGCAGAGAACCCATGGAAAAGAAGCTATAGATCCATTTTGAAAATAGTCCCCTGCTGCCAATAGGTACCACCAGCATTATCCTAATGCTAAATTATCATCATTAATATAGAGTCTTGCATAGTCTGCTTCTCTTCTGGGGTTTTGTCTGGCAGCAGGACAGGGGTGGGAGCTGGTGGCCTGACTGCAACCCTGTTGATGCAAGAACAAGGCACCCACCTGTCGAAATTCTCCTTGCCATTACTGCGCCGCTGAATGACAGTCCAGCCCCCGCCACCAGACATGTCACAGAACGCCAGGAAAGGCTCTCGGTCTGCTCTGGGCCTGATCCGGTAGTAGCCACTTGTGGTGCTCTTCCTGTTATACACTGCAGAACAATCTGGGCAAAACAGTATCAGTTTGTTAAATGGGCTGGGGGCAAAGCCAAGGGCTGTGTGCTACTAAGAGAAGATGTCACTGAGAGGCTCTATGAGACAAGGACGCTTGGCCAGCCTGTGCATAGCTCTGCAAGCCCTGTAAAGTCAAAGGAAATGGTACAGCAATGTAGTAGCCACAGTGGTTTACAAACTGCCAGCCTGACAAAGAGCTTTAAAGCTTGAGAGCCTTTACAGCCATGCCCTCTGGGGAAATAATGCCCAAATCCTTAGTGAGATGCAGGACAGCTGCAGCTTAGCCTGGGGCTATATCATGAATGCCTGGGACTGAAACTTGACCTGTCAGCAAGATCATTTGCAGAGAAGCTAATTTCCATGTGGAAGGTAAGGTAACCTCAGCCGTAATTCTGATAAGATCAGGGAAAAATATTTCTAAAATAATAGGCTAAACTCCTGTGTCCAGCTCTACCAGGACTGTATCAGGAGACAGCCTTTCAGGATCTTGGTGCTTCACACTTTCAATGTAATGCCCAAAGGCTAAGATCTTGGCTACGGAAAATGATGTCATTTATAACCATGTTCTCAAAGTAACAACAAAGAACAAAGTATGCATGCCTGTTCCTGTCCCCCGGAAGTAATGGGGGAGCTGAGAAACAGGGAGGCTTGGCTCATCCAAACAGGTCTCAGTGCCTGCAGCTGAGTCAGGCACTCAGGGAATATGGGCTCCTCAAGAACAGGACCCATCTCTTCCTAAAGTAGATGCCTAAAGTAAATCTGATAGAAAACATGAGAAGTGACTGTTCCTCTCTGCAGGTAAGAAGCCCAGGTGAAGATATCTATTTTGTACCTGGGTAATAGCTGCCTACAGCTGGGATAAGTGATTCTAGCCCCAAGGGACATCTTATAGTCAGCTCTTCAGGCCAACTAGTTAGCTCTTCTCCTTCCCAGGTATCTGTATTTTATATCACAATCCACTTAAAAAAAAAATTAAAACTTTTAGCAGAAATAAAATATGACACACGGGACAGTGCAGGGAAAAATAATCATTGTGGCATCTACTGCAAACTGTACCTTGGTCATACACTATCAAATTTCCACTGGTTGTGGGTAAAAGTGTCTCATGCTTCACGGTCCTGTTGCCTGAGAACAGTTCACTTTTCGTTCTGTGGTAAGTGTTCTCCAGTATGTCCTTCAGCTGCAATTCATATAAGTAAAGCAAGTCTTGAAGATGTTTTAATCTTTGTCTTAATTTATTGTTGTCTAGGAGGCAGATATCTTTGTCCTATGGAGAAAATAAAACAAAATCCCCCACACCAGTCAGTGGTAAGGAGAAACACAGAGAAAGGAGTATCTGTCTCTTCTTTACCCTAATATGTCATGCTGCCTTTGTGGATCAACATGATTTCATGATGATCTCTTCCTAAGATGTCCAAATCTTGCACAGCATGATCTGTTGAATTGAATCCAAAGGAAAAGGGGTCTCTGCAATGACCTTGGCATAGATCAGAGCACGCCAGAATATGATCAGATGCACAAACATTTACTTTGGACAAAAATAATTTGTCTTGACTCCCACTTGATGAACTCAAGGGGAAGGTTTGCAAACTATGAAAGTGCTTAGGTTGATAAGAGAGGGGAAACTTGTCTCTTGCACTGCAGATAGGCAAAACCTGGAAACAGCAAGGTTCCAGAATTAGCTTTGTGTAAAACTGAAAAAGAGCTCATATTTTGGCTATAGAAATATATTTTTTTAAAAAAAAGAGATTTTTGTTGTTGCTTTGAGTTCTTAGCAATGTCAGTTCAGTCTCCCAGAAAGCTGCACTGCCCTTAATGCTATGAAAATCCTGTCTTATCAGGACGACATTCCTTTAGCTGCAGGCAGATGCCTTCTTGCTCTGCTCTTGCAGGTCTTCATCCCTCTTGTGGGGGAATATCCATCTCTGTATAACTGGAAATGGTGAAACATTGAGAGAGTGTACAGACATAGTTAAAAGATACACACCGAAAACCTGGGTGCAGGTGAGCCAAAGCTGACCAGGAGAAGGAGCAGCAGCAAACAGTGCATCATCCCACTCTTTTCTTATCACCTGAAAAGAGGCATTGACAGGCTGTTATGGAAGCTTTTTTAGTTCCTCTCGCAACTTAATCTCCCCTCACACACTTACGTTTAACTCCCCAGGAGATGCTACAGAATTTGTTAAGGAGATTGCTTGAAACTACAGGCAGGCAAAATCAGGGTAAGAAGTATATTAAGGAGAAGCTGAAGCACCAGTGCAGTATGCTGACAGGACTAAAGGCTTAGGTCTGCTCTTGATTTCCCACAGAAATAAATACTCTGTGTGACTTTTCAGCAGCCTCTGTATCTCCTCCTAGGTATCTGCACAGATAGGAAGTTGCTTAGGAATCGTCTCCTTGAGGACTTTTTGTCAAAATCCCACAGGGTTTATTCAACTCAAACTTCTCAAAGTGGAATTAAGAGGAATTTGCCTCCTGGTTAAGTGACTGTAGATATTGTCCCTCCTCAGTCCTTGGAATGATCTGTGAGGATGGGATTACCTTGGAGGCCAAGTCACACGTGTGACAGAGTGGACATGAGATAGTTTTTCCTTGGATTTCAGGGGAAAAGATGTCTACTGGCAATCTGCCCCAACACACAGATGTGGTTTTGACTGGAGAGTCTTAGCTAGAAAATATGTTAAGTGACTGCCACTGGGAACATGCAGCTTAATATGAACAGTACAAATTGTTCGTAGTGTGCTTGCATGGTGCTTTAAAAAAAAAAACAAAATCAGAAAGAAAAAATATGAAAAGTAGGCTAAACCACACTTCCCTGCTTCACATCTGGAAGTGCTGCAGAAATTTGGCTCCCCAGCTATGTGCCCTGAGTGATGTGCTTTGTTCCAGCTATGGCTCTATCATCATCCCTGCAGCAGCTGACGCTGGATCTGCTTCCAAACCACCAAAGCTGCTGCAACAGAGGAGCCCTCAGCCAAGATGGGCAGGCAGGGCTCAAAGCAAGCCAAGGGAAGAAGATCTCCACAGAAGTTGCCCATAAAAGACAATGTGCAGGTAGGTGCCCCAGGCAGTGGCAATTTTTCAGCTCCTAGAGAGAAGGGTTCAATATTGCAGCAGGGAAAACAGAACCAGTGGTGCTGCTCACACCACCCTACAGTGGGGTCAGTGGCTGCAGCACTGGTGCTGAGGTCAGAGTCAGACCCCACACATTGCCCATGGGTGATGGCAAAAAGCTACCAGGAACTGTGGGATGAGTGACAGCTCCTGGAAAACAGACAGTGCAGAGCAGAGAGAAAGAAAGAAACTCCATTTATGCCTCTACCAAGACACATGAAATGCACATACCTGTAACTTGCCTTTCTTCAGACCTCCTCCTGGAAAGATTATCTCTCTTAAAAGTCAACTGCAAAAGAAAGTGATCATAAACCTGGCTGCATTTCAAGAGGTTGATGAGATTTTCCTCTCCAGATGACCCACATCAAGAGCACAGAGGAAGAATGTTTCACTGCACTAGGCAGATTCACAAAAAAGGTACTTGCAATTCCTTGTGTGAAAGAGTTACCCAAACCCCAAGTTTTCTGTTGCTATCCAGTACTCATCCTGCTGCTTCCCAGCGAGAATAAACAACAGGAGGTTTCTATCAAGTGCTCTCTAAAGGAAAGGGGAGAGGGGCTCTGCTGCTTGTGTACTATTACCTACCTTGACTAGGAAGCTCAACCAAGACTGACTTCTTTGGGTGTTTATGTGAATCACTCAGACTAATGCTCCCTGGGAGCATTAGTGGGAGTTTTGGCTCATGTTTTAACACAGCCAGGATCATTTCAGTAAGTTCTGCAAGGTGGAAATAACCCAGCTTTTCCACTCAGCATTCCTTTTGCTGTTTAATCTGTTTTATAAGAGCACAGCTGTAATGCCAAAGAAGCTGCAAATCTGAAGCAAGAAGTGAATGTGGGGGTATTAAGCAAGATTTTCTGTTAGACTGAAATCTCAGGAGGGTTGTGTAACTCTCCTGTGAGCTGGATTATTAGATTTGCTAGCTAACACAAACAAGGATATTTGTGGAAAAGAGAAAAAAGCCACAAAACCAAACAGATGGGTGCCTCCCTTTGCATTATGGCAAAGGAATTACAGATTATTTTAAAGAAAACAGCAGGAATGTTCCATTTTACAGAGCTTTGTTCAGAGGAGAGACCATGGGCACAAAAGACAAGGCACATAAACCCATGGTAAATGTCTGTGCTATTCTTCAGGAAAGCAGGACTATCCAGCTACTACCAACTACAGTAATGCTGTTTATTCCTTAAAAACTGCATTCCTCTTCTCCCGCAAGAACCCAGATTCATTTCTCTGCCAAAGGATTATGTAAGCAGTGCTTTTCTTCTCACTTGTTTTCTAGCCCCAGTTTAAGACTGGTTTTGACAGCTATGAAATTGAGTGAGTGAAACGTTTCCTCTTCTCACTAGTGGATACTTGGCCCTTTTTCCTGCTCCTTTGGCCAGGAAGTGCAGCTGGCAGCAGGGTGCTCAGGTGCCACGCACAGGGAGGCTGCACATCATCCCCTGGGGCTTTCACCAGCGGCAGCAATTCTTTCTCAGCTGGACCCATCCAGACAGTGCTCAAGATGCTGTGCAACAATTTATGTTCTTGTCTAGGTAGCCAAAAATTTAATTGGCCTGTGAGGATCTCCTGATCCCAGGTGGGACCAGAGAGAGGGCTGAGGCTGTGGTGTCAGTCTTGGAGTCGTGGTGTGGGTGGCACAGTCAGTGCCTGCAGCTGTCTGCAGGGCCATATGATTAGAGAGCATCAGGCCTCATAGCAATAAGTTCTTCTGGTCCCAGGGCAGAAGGGAGCAGTGAAACTGCCTTGTGTGAAACTCACATGTGTGCTTTGTCACTGCAGCTTTGCAGGAACAGGACTCAATCTCCAACCCTGGTTCAGTGGCTGCCAAAACATCTCACAGAGCCAAGACATCTGGAGCGCTCTCACGCTGCCTCTAGGCCTCCACCAATGTTCGTCTCAGCAACATCTGCATGTGGAAATCCCACTCAGCTGGAACATGGCTCTCGCATACCTGTTTTATGATTAACTTATTTTCCCAGGCTAGAGAATGCTTTAAGAATATGTGAAGCACAATAGAGGTGTTGCAGTGAGATTGAGTCTAGCAGGAGAGTGTCTTCAGGACACAGGAGAGGTATTGCTCCACTGGCTCAGAGCTAAAATAATCAAGTCATCATAAAGAATGTGGACACTGTGTGATCACCGATGTTTCCTCACAGATGTTGAAATACCTAGGCAGTGTGACAATAAATGCTGGGTTGGGCTTTTTTCCTGGAATACATATGCTTCACAAATATTCTGGAAGGCAAATTCCTGTTTAGTTACTTGGAAGGAGATCAGATTCCCTTTTCTTAAGATACTCAGTGATCTTGTCAGCAAAAAATAACAGTCTCATTAACTAAAAACCTTCCTACCCTGCTATCCTCTACTTCCAGCAAAAGTATGTAGGTGATGAATAGTAGTCACAAAACTTATTATTCACCCATTAAATACCAGCACATGCAAACTGGTGGGTAAATGTGACTGAAGAGCGTGACTCTGGGGTAGCTCTTGATAGGCCTACAGTTATGGGGAAAAATGGCTTGGGATGAAGACAGGAGCATGACACCTGATGGATATTAACACCTTCGGAGCCCAAAGGAACATCACTGCAGCTGGAAGACAGTAGTGGCATCTCAAAACTCTTCCAAGAAGAGTTTATTGTTGATTGTTCTTAAAGGCGAAAGGAAAGAAATGAGGCAGACTACTTCAGGCCCCAAAAGAGGTAGAGAGACCTGAGGATTTCACAGCAAGAATCTGACTGCCCCCCTGTGCTCTAGGAAAATACAGGGTAGTCTGGGTGCAGCTCAAAGCCAAAGCGATTACTTGCAGTGAATCCAGGTGCTCTGTGCCTTCACATTGTTTTTATACTTACCTACCACATCCCACCTTCCATGAGCACCCTGCTCACTGGGAGAGACTGCAGACCAGACTCCTTTGCAGGCACTGCAGGTACCTACCAGGGGCCTGCAGGCTTGATGTTTGAGCCTGTATACATCTCTGCAGGAATCTGGGCTGCTGGGATTTTTTAAAACAAAGTTAATATAAGAGATCTGAAACAAATATTTATTGTTTTTTAATCTAACAATAAAGGCTTTCATCAAAAGTAAGATAGATTTAAAAGGATGACATCAGGCACCATAGTTTCAACCTATGAAATAACCGAAACCGGCATTTGTGCATGAAAAGTCTGTGGTTGGTAAGCAAGGAGAAACCACAGAAATCTGTGTACAAAGAAGAAGCAATGGTGGTAGACCATGAAACATGCTAGATCTGAATATTTTGATAACGTTCAAAGAGCAAATACATAATTCAGTTTAACTAATGAGTCTGCATGCAGCCTATGAGTATCTAATGGGTTGACACAACAAATGTAATTAGTTTGTAAGTTCCTGAGGGCAAGCACAGGTCCCAGCAATCCCATGTCAGGAATAGCTGTACCAAAGGGAATTAGTCACAAGACCAGAGGGAGCATGTGGCTTCCAGGATCTTCTACCTACTTCAGGTCAGAGAACTTCCCTAACCTAATTTACTCCCATTTGAACTGGAATGTCCCTTTGAGAAAAAGACATTTTGCTGTAAAACATTTAGTGCAGAAGAACCAGCCACAAACCCTAGCATGTTCTTCCACTCTTTAATTACTCACATTGCTTTTTTTTTTTTTTTTTTGCCTTGAGTCTGAATCTTCCAAGTCTCATCCTGCAACCTTTTAATTTCATGATGCCTTGCTCTGAGAAGGGGAAGAGTCCTCTGCTGCCAAATGCCTTTTTTTCCCTGCTAAAGGCTAGGTCCAAACAGAAGCTGTGTGCTTGCTCCTGACTGGGAATCCAAACCTCCATTATCTGCTTTGGCTGCAGGTGTGTGCAGGAAACCCAGCAAGGCCAGGGAGCGAGGGACTGCTTGAAGCTTTTCCTGGGCAGGGCTGAGGAACACGGCACAAGCACATCACACTCGTGAGTAGGGCACTTGGCTGGCATGGAGAGGAAGGGCAGGAACAAGTTCTGCTCCTGGAGAGATTTCAGTCAGGGCAGTTTAATGTAGAACAAGTACACAGAGGTGAGAAGAGCTGTGGGTGGTGTATGACAGGGTGTGATGGGGGTGGTCTCACTGGGCGTGTTGAGGGGCCTCCAGGAACTGCAGTAGTCTGCCTAGATTTGGGAGCCTAGGCAGGAACAAGCAGCAGAGATATGTGGTCAGGACAGGAGCAGAACTGCAGGGTCTGGAGGGATCCCTGCAGCCCAACAGAGAGGTGCCAAATCAATTTAACTGCCTCAAACGTTAGGCAATCGCTGAACAAGTACCTTCCTAGACCTAATTGTTGATGGTGTAAGTCTGCTTATACCCCTTCTGGGGAACCTTGTCCTTTTTCCAGATCCAGCCCTGTCTGACTGTGATTAAGTCGCTCACATTAAGAGCCATATAAAGAGCTCAGGCAATATTTCCAAAATCCTTCCTGTTTGTGGTTCCAAGACTCTCACTCCTTTTGTCACAGAGCTGCATGCCACAATCATCTGTCACTGGCTAATCCCTGCTGTTGCTCCAGGACTTGTCAGTGGTACCTGACTTCCTGTCACTGACGCTCCAAGTCTGACCTGCATGGTGTTACCCGGTGCAGTCAGGGTGAGCGTGATTCACAACACCTGAGAAGTTAGTCCAGAAATGCCTGCCAGCTTTTTGACATGTGCATACACAGGCCATGCAGATGGCAGGAGCCTTGATGGGAGTTAGAGGGACTGCAAGCAAACCTAGAATGTTTTTAACACATGTTGCATGGTTCTTCAGGTGCTGAGGGTACCAAACATCATCCTGAAGTCTTGTGTTCTGAGATTGATAGTGGATGTAAGTCACAATTTACTCAGTGCCAGGCAGTCGTTCTTACTCTGACCACTGTTACAACCTCTGTGTCAGCTGCAGACTTCATCACTCAGGATTTTATCCAGGCCATGGTTTAAAACAAAACAACACAACATTAAACAGTGTAAGACAACACCCAATCCCTGCAGAATCTCTCAGGAAAAGCATTGCTTAAGTATGGTTTCTCTTTTAGTTATTTTAAGACTAGTATGCTGTGCTTACATCAATATGATTGATTGAACCTTCTTAATCAAAGTTATTTTCTAGTCAATAAGTTGCTTACAGAAATAAAAAAACCTTTTATTTTAGCAATAAAACTTGCAGTGTTGTTTCAGAAATATATTTGCTTCTACTATTAAGCTTCTTTAATATTTTATTAGTTGAAACTCTCTGTCTAATCTGCTCTCATTTCTCAGGGAGCAGAGCCAAGCTATAAACTATCACCATCAGGTCATCTGATCTACCTGTTTTTAATATTGGCTGAGAATTCATTTTTTACCCACTTATCTTCATATTTCTGCTATCTCAAGACTTAATAAAAATGTAATTATTTTTCTTGTCTTTCTTAAAATAATCAGCTGTAGAAAAGAAATACCTACCAATTTAAAAATCTGTCAAGAGATTCTGTTTACCACCTTCTCTGTTATTTTTGGAATGCAAAGTATGTCATTACCCCTCTGAGAAATGCGTACTTAATCCTACTCTTTAGCCAGTATGTAACTGGATTATTTACTAAATATTTAAATCTTTTTTGCATTTTTTGACAATTCAGCTATTTTATACAGATGAAATATTGTCAGAGGATCAGAACTGGATTCTCAAAGGTTATTAAATATCAGTATCATGACTTAACCAAAATACAATGCAAAGCAAAATACAATGAAAAGTATTTGCAAGTCTTGAATTTAAAAACCAGAACACTTTCAATACTTTTTACTTTTGGCTTTATGAACCTTG